TCACACCATGAAACTCGAAAAAGCTAATACATTCAAAAGCACTACCACATGAAAACTATTCCATATTAAAACCAGGATTGAGGGGGCGTGCCTGACTGCCAAGGAAGATGTCCGTATAGAAAATAGCTCCGGCACATGGGCTCTAGATCAAATGATAATTACTATAGCAGAAATCATCCAAACCTTCCATATCACCATGTCTCAGCATAAACACAAAAAAGCCTCCTCGAAAGCTGTCAAGCACAAGCCACAAACTGACATTTTTACCTGAGCCCGCGCAAATGGCCCTACAATATGGCGCTGAGGACATGGAAACCAGCAGCCACATGGCTGCACAAGATACATTGCTGCCACCCGAAAGCCTTACTAAAGACTTCTTTGAGCGGGAAATGGAAGCTATGTCTACCAAGCTCATCACCTCGTGGCAATCCATTGCGGACGAATTGAAGACAGAGGTCTTCAGCCTCACTAACAGAGCGACCCGGAACAAGAATGCAGGGAACTAGCCTCTGCACATAACAACATGGCTGATTACATCCAGGCCCTGGAGCATAGGCTGGTACTATGGAGACTCGTATAGGCCACCAGCCTTATGCGGAGTGAACACTGGTAAAAGACCGCCATGTTGCCACAACGTGGGATGTGGGATGCCTAACACAGCTGTGGTGCGACACAGTAGGCACACTGACGGCAGGTGACCCAATATGACACGAACCATACCATGCTCGGGGCACAACTGCTTCTACACCACTAAGAAACGTTTGCAGCTCACAACAACCCAGACCGCAGCAGCTTCACTTAAGGTAACACTCAGGGCCTGGGACCCAGCCCAAGCCGACGCAAACAGAGCAGTGCATCCCAAATTCCTAACAATAGAAGTGCACCTACCCTTTGATACCCAACCTTAAGGCCGCAAAATATACATAAAGCTGCCCACTGCAAATGCCCAACGAACAGGCCAAACGGCATTGAACACAGCGTGAGAGACTAGGCATGCAGGGGAACATGTACCCAACTGATATAACCACGTGTATTGTGAGGAACACAGTTGATTTTTGGGCTGTTACAACATAGGCTATCCCCTTTTTTATATGATCTACCATTTTCTGTTAAGAATGTTATAAACAAGATTTCTGCTCCAATATAAAACACATAATGGAGCCCAAGAAGCCACCCACTAGGAAAGTTTAACTCCTAACCCCCACAGTACAACCCTCATCCTCCGACCTCTAGAGGTCATCTATACATACCTAATACTTTAGTTAGGTGACCACATAAGTCAACCCCATCTATACTTTCTACCACCAGACAAATCCCACCCCCGTTCACAGTTGGCACTGCACAAACCTCAACAACACCAGACCATAACCTACGCAAAACCATACATCCAGACCATATACCAGAAGATGTATTCTCACAATAGCAGAGGTGTAAACACCACTCATAACAGGCGTATGTTACTCCATCCTTTTCCACAGCTCACTGACAGTTGAAATACTTACAATCAAAAGAGATGGCCAGGGAAGGTACTTGATACTCCAGTGTATCATCAACAATCTACAATATATCATTGTAGGGCTATATAGCTGAACAACCACCAGAGATACTTGTTGCACAAAGTCTTGGCAAAACTACAAACGACCACTGGCAACCCCCTGATAGTGTGTGGGGACCTAAATCATACCTTAGATAGCTGAGTAGACATCACCATACTGCACAACCCACACAGACATGCCACCCTCAAAGCAAACTGCAAAGCACTCACAAAACTGCTCATGGAGTATTGGCTGTATGATGCCTGGAGAACACAGCACCCCTCTGACAGGGGCTATTCCTATCATTGGGCAGTGCACAAGACCTATTCCAGAATCAATCTCATTCTAGTATCAGGAACGATCCTTCCCAACATCTCCCAATTTGACATAGGCAACATAGTCTGGTCTGACCACGCCCCAACCATCATAACCCTAAGGACCACTACCAACACAGAGGCAAACCAGCCTGGCGCCTCAACAACACTCTCCTGCAGGACACCCACTTCACAAAACAACTTATGGAAAATGTATCCAAATGTATTTTGAGCTCAATATCACCCCGGATGTCGATATCATCTCCACTTGGCAGGCCCACAAACCAGTAATCAGGGGCCTACTGATAAGTCGAGCTACGCATCTCAAAAAGTGTTCACAACTACAACATATCACTCTGTTATGAAAACTGAGGGACACCACCAATGCGCATTTTCTACACCCTTCAGATGCTCATGCTACTGTTATAGCCGAAACACATGCTAACTAAACTGAAACAGAGAACCTACTCCCAAGGTAATAAAGCTGGGTAAATTTAGCTAACATGCTCCACCAAAAACAAGCCAATTCCAGAAACCCCTACCTTGTTACCGGCACGGACACAATACTACATAACCTGCAAGATATTAATGACGAAATGGCAGCGTACTACCATAAACTCTACAACCTTAAGGAGGATAGGGCTTTACACCAACCAACCAAGAAATCACAAACTTCCTACAACTCACTACGTTACCGATTCTGCACAAAAAATACTAGACACGATTCAAGCCCTACCATCTGGGAAATCCCCAGGCCCAGATGGACTTTCGAACTTGTATTACAAACAATTCACCCTTTCTCTATCTAGAGAAAACATTTAACCACATTATCCAAAAAGGCACCATGCCCACAGACATGCTAATGGCACATGTTGCCATACTTTCAAAGCCGAATAATCCACTGACTAGAAGTCAGAACCGCAGGCCTATCTCTCTGTTAAACACGGACATAAAACTGCTGGATAAAATATTCTCCAACCGCATAGTGCCCGTTATTCTTTCACCAGTAGGTGAGGACCAAGTGGGCTTCATGGGGGGCCGAAGTTGGCTTCGTTGGATGGCACGAGAAAATTGCTTGACATACTGCATGAGACATGAGGGAGGAGGTAACCCCAGTGTTTGGCTCTCGCTGGACGCTAAAAAAGCTTTTGACAGGTTGCACTGGTCCTTCCTCCTCGCGGTACTAGACAAGTTTGCCTTTCCACCCCAAACTATATCACCGCGCTATACTCACCCCAACAGCAAGAGTTGTCAATGGAGGCTTCATCTCCTGCCACCCCGACAGGGGTGCCCCCTCTCCCACTTCTTTACATACTGTAATTGGAACCTCTAACCCAAATGATAAGAGACAATCCAAACATTCACGGCATTAAACTCCAAAGCCGCGAACATAAGCTATCTCTATTTGCAGACGGGGTATACACTTTGTCCTAACTTCTAGACGACTCCAACATCAAACTGTTCACGGACCTGCAAACAGAGTTCAATCTACCTACTATAGCCCACTTCTTCTACATGCAACTTCACTCCTGGATACAACTTACGCTAACGGCGACGGATTACAAGTCATCAAAACCACACCTGACAGATGTGGAGGAGATCTGTCTCCAGCTCAAGCCACCTAAGAAACTTATCTCTGCAATCTACGCCTCTGAACACTCTTCACCAAACATTGAGTACCTCACATTCATGAAAGCAGGGGAAAATATCTCACACATAAATTGACAGACTCCCAATGGAGGGAAATATTCAAGGCCCAAAAAGTAATGACGCTATGCGCTTCCCATGTCGGACTATCGCGCAAAATTCTATACCGGTGGTACCTGGTCTCTGTGTACCTCAAACATAGTGTCCCTAACATATCAAACACCTGTTCGAGATGCCACACAGACAAAGGAACGATGCTGCACACCTGGTGGCACCGCTCGCAACTCATTACATACTGGCAAGAAGTAGCAGCTTTTTCAAAGAAATCCACTGGAATACAACTTCCTCTTTAACCAAAGACATACCTGCTTCTACTACTATCAAAACACTTGTACAAGAAGCAACGATATCTCTCTAAAACATCCTCATAGCAGCCTTCACGGTGATCAACAGACAGTGGAAAATTACAAACCCTCCCACTATTGAGCAATGCATACAAACAGTAGAGACCAACAGCCGATATGAAAAGATGGCCCGCCTAACACAGCCTAACGCAGAACACTTGTGTGAGGCGTGGACGACTGGGGAAAACAAACGCATTGTGCCAAACACCCAATGAAAATGCAAAAAAACCAAACCAGCCGAAATGAGACCCGATGCCCTTGTGAACATAACACCCACCTTTATGTTACTACAATCAAAGGACAGATGAACATGCCCTCGATGAACAACCAACTACTGGAATTAGATAAATGGGCCAGTGTAGGCCTACCTAACCCACTAGCATGCACTGACAGATGGATACTGTAGACAGGCGCACATTTGCACTGAAACACAAGACACCATCAGTAAGATGGAAAACCACAACCACAATTATCTCAAGGACAGAGAGGAGGGATTGTGATGTAAATGTGGGTGTGTTTTATGGTTCTCCTGTAAACGATTGGTTGTACTGTGTCCCACCCTGTGGGATGTCCCCTTGCATGGGGACTTGCATAAAAGCCAGTGTGTGGCCATTACAAGTGAGTTCCTGCTTAACCCTCAAAGTGAAGTGTCGTCTCATTATTGGGGGAGGATTTATTGTATGCTGTTCCAGTTTGACTGCTAGGAGTGTAAACCTATTCGCATGGTTTTTCCTATTCGGCTGTATACAACATTCAAATGCTTAGAAGTACTCATATGCTTCTCCGGTTCGGTGATTGTGGTGTCTGCCAGAGTGCTTGGAGTCCTCAGGAAACGCTAGGAACATCCTTTAACGGAGGTACCCAGTCGGGGTGCCAGGTGATCCGTTACAGTGGGAAAAGTAATGGAAACCATGTCAAAGGATAGGATTGTTGAACATCTAAAAATACATGGATTTCAAGATCAGAGACAACATGGGTTTACTTCAGGGAGATCATGCCAAACTAATCTTATTGATTTTTTTTCGATTGGGTAACTAAAATAATAGATCAGGGTGGTGCAGTAGACATAGTTTTCAGTAAGGCTTTTGCCACTGTTGCACATAGAAGGCTTATCAATAAATTGCAATCTTTAAGTTTGAATTCCAATATTGTTGAATGGGTAAGGCAGTGGCTGAGTGACAGGCAACAGAGGGTTGTAGTCAATGGAGTATATTTGAAGCTTGGGCTTGTCACCAGTGGGGTACCTCAGGGATCTGTACTTGGACCCATTCTCTTTAATATTTTTATTAGTGATATTGCAGAAGGTCTTGATGGTAAGGTATGTATTTTTGCTGATGGTACTAAGATATGTAACAGGGTTGATGTTCCAGGAGGGATAAGCCAAATGGCTAATGATTTAGGTAAACTAGAAAAATGGTCAGAGTTGTGGCAACTGACATTTAATGTGGATAAGTGCAAGATAATGCATTTTGGACATAAAAACCCAAAGGCAGAGTACAGAATATTTGATAGAGTCCTAACCTCAACATCTGAGGAAAGGGATTTAGGGGTGATTATTTCTGATGACTTAAGGGGGGGCAGACAGTGTAATAGAGCAGCAGTAAATGCTAGCAGAATGCTTGGTTTTATATGGAGAGGTATTAGCAGTAGAAAGAAGGCAGTGCTCATGCCATTGTACAGAACACTGGTGAGACCTCACTTGGAGTATTGTACGCAGTACTGGAGACCGTATCGTCAAGTTTAAGCATGCGTGGGATAAGACATAAGGCTATCTTAGATATAAGAGACTAATTATTTTAAAGTATTTTAGAAAATTGGGCAGTCTAGATGGGCCGAATGGTTCTTTTTTTTTTAAATTCTTTATTTTTCTTGTGCATGTATAGACATTTAACATTTTTCTTGTTATGCCACAGCAGCATTGGCAAATTAATCAGAAACACTGGGATTGACACGGCATGCGAATTGACTGCATATTTTTATGATAATATCAGGCTAAAGCTGGAAAGGTTGTGTCAAAGGGTGATATACGATTTTAAGCTAGTAATACTAATATTTCCAGCATTGTCTAATTATAAGCGCTTGCATCAATATCTGTTCATGTCTCTAGAGATCTTTGAAACAAAAGATTTTAAACATGCTGAACTACGCTAAAAACAACAGCCCTGTTAGCCTTAATTGTGCATAGGTGAGAGGTCTGCGTTGTAGATACTAACAGTAGGTCTAAATTAATATAACACACAGATTTGGTATAGCCTTAAGATTCATCACATATACAGGGAGTGCAGAATTATTAGGCAAATTTGTATTTTGACCACATCATCCTCTTTATGCATGTTGTCTTACTCCAATCTGTATAGGCTCGAAAGCCTACTAGCAATTAAGCATATTAGGTGATGTGCATCTCTGTAATGAGAAGGGGTGTGGTCTAATGACATCAACACCCTATATCAGGTGTGCATAATTATTAGGCAACTTCCTTTCCTTTGGCAAAATGGGTCAAAAGAAGGACTTGACAGGCTCAGAAAAGTCAAAAATAGTGAGATATCTTGCAGAGGGATGCAGCACTCTTAAAATTGCAAAGCTTCTGAAGCGTGATCATCGAACAATCAAGCGTTTCATTCAAAATAGTCAACAGGGTCGCAAGAAGCGTGTGGAAAAACCAAGGCGCAAAATAACTGCCCATGAACTGAGAAAAGTCAAGCGTGCAGCTGCCACGATGCCACTTGCCACCAGTTTGGCCATATTTCAGAGCTGCAACATCACTGGAGTGCCCAAAAGCACAAAGTGTGCAATACTCAGAGACATGGCCAAGGTAAGAAAGGCTGAAAGACGACCACCACTGAACAAGACACACAAGCTGAAACGTCAAGACTGGGCCAAGAAATATCTCAAGACTGATTTTTCTAAGGTTTTATGGACTGATGAAATGAGAGTGAGTCTTGATGGGCCAGATGGATGGGCCCGTGGCTGGATTGGTAAAGGGCAGAGAGCTCCAGTCCGACTCAGACGCCAGCAAGGTGGAGGTGGAGTACTGGTTTGGGCTGGTATCATCAAAGATGAGCTTGTGGGGCCTTTTCGGGTTGAGAATGGAGTCAAGCTCAACTCCCAGTCCTACTGCCAGTTCCTGGAAGACACCTTCTTCAAGCAGTGGTACAGGAAGAAGTCTGCATCCTTCAAGAAAAACATGATTTTCATGCAGGACAATGCTCCATCACATGCGTCCAAGTACTCCACAGTGTGGCTGGCAAGAAAGGGTATAAAAGAAGAAAATCTAATGACATGGCCTCCTTGTTCACCTGATCTGAACCCCATTGAGAACCTGTGGTCCATCATCAAATGTGAGATTTACAAGGAGGGAAAACAGTACACCTCTCTGAACAGTGTCTGGGAGATTGTGGTTGCTGCTGCACGCAATGTTGATGGTGAACAGATCAAAACACTGACAGAATCCATGGATGGCAGGCTTTTGAGTGTCCTTGCAAAGAAAGGTGGCTATATTGGTCACTGATTTGTTTTGTTTTGTTTTTGAATGTCAGAAATGTATATTTGTGAATGTTGAGATGTTATATTGGTTTCACTGGTAATAATAAATAATTGAAATGGGTATATATTTGTTTTTTGTTAAGTTGCCTAATAATTATGCACAGTAATAGTCAGCTGCACACACAGATATCCCCCTAACATAGCTATAACTAAAAACAAACTAAAAACTACTTCCAAAAATATTCAGCTTTGATATTAATGAGTTTTTTGGGTTCATTGAGAACATGGTTGTTGTTCAATAATAAAATTAATCCTCAAAAATACAACTTGCCTAATAATTCTGCACTCCCTGTATGAGTAGTTTTGTTGCTGGGTTTGCCTTTATAAGCTATGGCGGTGCATGGTATGGGAGACCCAATGCACAGCTAGGCTAGAGTGAGCGAGATGTGAGATTAAGTGGTGAGAAGAGAGAGAAAGCTTGAGTTAGCAAAACATGTGAATTTCAACAGGTGGCAGAGATAAACGGGTAACACAGCCATGCATCACTAGTAGTGAATAGTGATCTGTCATGGCAGCTAGCCTGGCATGCCAGCACAGTTAAGCGGTCTGTCAGCCTATCCCCATGCTGGGCAGTAAGCCTCCATATGAGGACAGTTCATGCAGGGCTGCTAGTGTCCCGTCAGGCGACAGATGCAGTGTAGTCTGGTGCATGCTGGATTTGCCTTCGCGGTAGGGTAGGTGCCTCCTCGAGTTCCCTCCCCGGCGGGTCGTGGCTGGGTTCTCCGCCGGTTCCGCCCACCAGTGTGTGGTCTTGCTGTGTCTAGGTCAACGTCATGGTAGGCTTTGTGAGGTCCCACATGCGGGGCGGCGTCTTGCTGGTCAAGGTTCGCAGGGGCCGTCGAGGGGTAAGCATGTCGGGTGTACCGGTCAGCTCACCCGTCCGCCTAATTGGATGCTGGCGGTTACATCGCCGGGTGTATGCTCTTGGAGCTCGTGGCAGGGCCCCATATTGTCGGCGCCGGGTCGAAGGGCAGATCCTGAGGGTGAGCCCCTGGCGACAGAGCAGAGTCCAGAAGCTCCTGCAGTGTTTGTCAAAAGCCTCCAGGGGCCCTGTCATTGGTCTGGGTTTATGTGAAACTCTTGGGTCGGGTTGCCGCCAAGCCGCCATCTTGGTAGGGTCCTGGCGGCATGTCTTCCTCGCGGGCGGTAAGGCCTGTGAGATTGCCATTTGCTGCGGTATGCCTTTCCATTGTGGACGGGATAATTCCTGCCGGTCCAAAGGGGGGGGGGGGTAGGGTGCTGGTGTGTGTGCTTGGTTTCGTCTGGGCCAGGGAGAATGGCCATCTCGCCCCAGCTTCGACACTAGTAGGCCGTATATGGTGTCCAGCGCCCCCTTGGCCGACGGGCCTCA